GCGCTGGCTCCCACCAAGCTGCCGTTTCCTCCCAGGCAGGATCCTAGTGCTAATGACCACCAAATGGGTATTAACTCCTGTGCTCCGCCAAAACTAGCAGCCATATTTTTAATTAATGGGATCATAGTGGCGACAAAGGGGATATTGTCAACAATGGCAGATGCAACGGCGGATACAAACAGAATTGAAATGGCGGTTACGGTTTTGTCCCCGTCGGTTAATGCCAGCACCTGTTGTGCTAACATTTCTAACAAGCCGGTGGACTCGACACCATATACGAGTATAAAAAGGCCAATAAAAAAGAAAATAGTAATCCATTCTACTTCATTTAACGATTTGCTTACCATCGCGGTCTGTTTTTCCTGCCCGTGAGGTAAACAGTTTAAGGTCAGTAATAACGCTGCTCCAAACAATGCGATGGTTGCAGGTTGTAATCCATAATCATGGCCTACAATAAAGCCGACCATTACCAAGGTGAGTACAAACAGTGATTTTTTCAGTAATGCCCAATCTTTAATGGCATCTATTTCGCGGTACATCATCACTTTGTTGATCAGTTTAGGGTCAGCTTTAAGGTGTCGCCCCCAGATAAAATAAAGAGGGATCAGGGTCACTAATAATATAAATACTGCAATAGGTGCTAGATTAAACAGGAAATCGTTATACCCCAAGCCAGTAGCAGAGCCGATCATGATATTAGGTGGGTCACCGATCAGGGTGGCCGTACCGCCGATATTGGCGGCAAATATTTCCGCAAACAAATAGGGGTAAGCACTTAATTTCAGTGTGTCGGTGATCAGCAAGGTTACGGGTGCTATCAACAATACGGTGGTCACATTATCCAATATTGCAGACAGTACGGCAGTGACGAACACCAGCATCACCAGAATTCCCCATGGATCCCCTTTAACTAGTTTTGCAGAGCGAATTGCTAGGTACTGAAATACACCTGATTCTCGAGTGATACCGACGATGATCATCATTCCGGTGAGTAAACCAATGGTATTAATATCGACACCTTGCATGGCTGATTGCTGGGTCAATACACCACTCATGATCATCAACACGGCTGCCATCATAGCGATAATAGCGCGATTTAAACGTTCGGTTATGATCAGCACGTAGGTTAATACAAATAAAATGCCGGCGAACCAGGCAGGCGAAAGCCCAAAAATTATATCTGGCTGAGCT